TTTTAATATTTAAGTTAAAACAATAAAATTTTTAATATATTTTTAAATAGCCGTTACTGCTGTTTAAAATAAGCGTTTAAAAAAAAATGTGAAAATTTGCTGAATTGAAAAAAAAATTTTGCTGAATATTTTAGCAGATGATCCATGGAAATTTTATTTGTTTAAATAATAAAAAATAATTTGCCATACGTTTTTTTTTTATATAGTTTTTTAATATTTGTAGTTATTTTTTATTGTTATTGTTTTTTTTTACAATAAACGTGTTAAGCATTTAATAATGAATTGGAAAACTTTTTACAGCCAATAAAATTTGCTGAATAATTAAATATAATTTTGTGAAATTTGTTTCGTTACACCCACTAATGACGACAATTAAAAGAAAAGTTTGAAATCACAACAAACTCGGAATAATTTTTATTATACATTTTTTATAAATTGCATTACACTGTGCTCTTCATAGTAAAACCATCAACGCGTTGCAGTAGCATTTTGTTTACAAAAAGTTATTTAATGCATAATAATGTAACTAATTGTTTATTAATACAGTTTAATTAAAAAGACGTTTATCGCTATTAATTGCTTTTGTTTTTAACTTACAAAAAAAAGTCTAAAAATCGAACAGGTTTTATAGGGATTAATAAGAATTAATGTCATTATTAAAAAGGACGTAACAGATGTTCATCGGCTATTGTTTATAAAATTAGTGAAGGTTGCTTCGTTTTATAGAAAAAGAGTTTATTTGGACAATACAGAGGCAATTGGACAATTAAATTAAGTTCTGTCCTAGTTCTGTTCTAGTTTAGTTCTAGTTCTGTTCTAGTTGTATTCTAGTTGTGTTCTAGTTGTGTTCTAGTTGTGTTCTAGTTGTGTTCTAGTTCTGCTCTAGTTCTGTTCTAAATCTGTTCTAGTTCTGTTCTAGTTCTGTTCTAGTTGTGTTCTAGTTGTGTCTAGTTGTGTTCTAGTTCTGTTCTAGTTGTGTTCTAGTTGTGTTCTAGTTGTGTTCTAGTTGTTTCTAGTTGTGTTCTAGTTGTGTTCTAGTTGTGTTCTAGTTGTGTTCTAGTTGTGTTCTAGTTGTGTTCTAGTTGTGTTCTAGTTCTGCTCTAGTTCTGTTCTAGTTCTGTTCTAGTTTTGTTCTAGTTCTGTTCTAGTTCTGTTCTAGTTCTGTTCTAGTTTCTGTTCTAGTTCTGTTCTAGTTCTGTTCTAGTTGTGTTCTAGTTGTGTTCTAGTTGTGTTCTAGTTTGTGTTCTATTTGTGTTCTAGTTGTATTCTAGTTGTGTTCTAGTTGTGTTCTAGTTGTGTTCTAGTTGTGCTCTGGTTCTGTTCTAGTTCTGTTCTAGTTGTGCTCTAGTTCTGTTCTAGTTCTGTTCTAGTTCTGTTCTAGTTCTGTTCTAGTTCTGTTCTAGTTCTGTTCTAGTTCTGTTCTAGTTCTGTTCTAGTGTCTGTTCTAGTTCTGTTCTAGTTGTTCTAGTTCTGTTCTAGTTCTGTTCTAGTTCTGTTCTAGTTCTGTTCTAGTTCTGTTCTAGTTCTGTTCTAGTTCTGTTCTAGTTCTGTTCTAGTTCTGTTCTAGTTCTGTTCTAGTTATGTTTCTAGTTCTGTTCTAGTTCTGTTCTAGTTCTGTTTCTAGTTCTGTTCTAGTTCTGTTCTAGTTCTGTTCTAGTTCTGTTCTAGTTCTGTTCTAGTTCTGTTCTAGTTCTGTTCTAGTTCTGTTCTAGTTCTGTTCTAGTTCTGTTCTAGTTCTGTTCTAGTTCTGTTCTAGTTCTGTTCTAGTTCTGTTCTGTTCTAGGTTCGTCTAGTTCTGTTCTAGTTCTGTTCTAGTTCTGTTCTAGTTCTGTTCTAGTTCTGTTCTAGTTCTGTTCTAGTTCTGTTCTAGTTCTGTTCTAGTTCTGTTCTAGTTCTGTTCTAGTTCTGTTCTAGTTCTGTTCTAGTTTTCTGTTCTAGTTCTGTTCTAGTTCTGTTCTAGGTCTGTTCTAGTTCTGTTCTAGTTCTGTTCTAGTTCTGTTCTAGTTCTGTTCTAGTTCTGTTTAGTTCTGTTCTAGTTCTGTTCTAGTTCTGTTCTGTTCTAGTTCTGTTCTAGTTCTGTTCTAGTTCTGTTCTAGTTCTGTTCTAGTTCTGTTCTAGTTTTGTTCTAGTTCTGTTCTAGTTCTGTTCTAGTTCTGTTCTAGTTCTGTTCTAGTTCTGTTCTAGTTCTGTTCTAGTTCTGTTCTAGTTCTGTTCTAGTTCTATTCTAGTTCTGTTCTAGTTCTGTTCTAGTTCTGTTCTAGTTCTGTTCTAGTCCTGTTCTAGTTCTGTTCTAGTTCTGTTCTATTTCTGTTCTATTTCTGTTCTAGTTCTAATTCAAACGAAAATAGTATTAAATGTAGTAAGAAAACTAAAAAGTCTAAATTTGCAAAAATATTTGTTTAATATTTTATAATATTTACTTTAACTTTATATTATTACAAATTGCCAATTAGTTTTAAATTCAGCACTTTTTTTTATTCGGCCTATAATAAAAGAGCTTAAAAAACAATCAAAGCAATAAAATACAATTAATTTAATTTTTTATTTATAAACAAATACAAATTATAAAACAAAACACAACAACGACAAAAGTAAACACTGTAAAGAAACCCGCATTTTATATTAACAATACTTAATAGGGTTTTCAATAATGTGATCCATAATGGGGAAATATTCATTAAGTATGCATACGTCAGACTATCTGCCCATGTAAACTATGAAATCAAACTTAAACTCGTAGTTTCTTCTAGTATAATACTCAGTTTCCCAGAGTCTGTGCATTAGTATAAAACCCTCTGATGAACCAATACAGCAGTTGACAAAACACTCTTCAGCCTTTTTTAAACAAACCGCTAAACTGATTAAATTATTAAATAGAATTAAAAAAACAATAGTAATAACAATAACAATATAAACAACGTTTTAACGAGATAAGTTAATTAATTGTAAATTAATACAAACACGCCGGCGTATTTTGTAATGCTTGTAATTTATTTAAAAAATTTAATTAATTTTAATTTAAATAAAAGCGAAACAAAACAACGGAAGAAATAGTTGGAATTTTATTTTATGAATGAATTAAAGAAAAAAATCTTATACACCGTTTCCAATGGCATATCAGAAATTTCGCAAATATACAAGTTTAGTTCTAGTTAAGTACTAGTTCTAGTTCAGTTCTAGTTCAGCTCTAGTTAAGTTCTAGTTCAGTTCTAGTTCAGTTCTAGTTCAGTTCTAGTTCAGTTCTAGTTCAGTTCTAGTTCAGTTCTAGTTCAGTTCTAGTTCAGTTCTAGTTCAGTTCTAGTTCAGTTCTAGTTCAGTTCTAGTTCAGTTCTAGTTCAGTTCTAGTTCAGTTCTAGTTCAGTTCTAGTTCAGTTCAAGTTCAGTTCTAGTTCAGTTCTAGTTCAGTTCTAGTTCAGTTCTAGTTCAGTTCTAGTTCAGTTCTAGTTCAGTTCTAGTTCATTTCTAGTTCAGTTCTAGTTCAGTTCTAGTTCAGTTCTAGTTCAGTTCTAGTTCAGTTCTAGTTCAGTTCTAGTTCAGTTCTAGTTCAGTTCTAGTTCAGTTCTAGTTCAGTTCTAGTTCAGTTCTAGTTCAGTTCTAGTTCAGTTCTAGTTCAGTTCTAGTTCAGTTCTAGTTCAGTTCTAGTTCAGTTCTAGTTCAGTTCTAGTTCAGTTCTAGTTCAGTTCTAGTTCAGTTCTAGTTCAGTTCTAGTTCAGTTCTAGTTCAGTTCTAGTTCAGTTCTAGTTCAGTTCTAGTTCAGTTCTAGTTCAGTTCTAGTTCAGTTCTAGTTCAGTTCTAGTTCAGTTCTAGTTCAGTTCTAGTTCAGTTCTAGTTCAGTTCTAGTTCAGTTCTAGTTCAGTTCTAGTTCAGTTCTAGTTCAGTTCTAGTTCAGTTCTAGTTCAGTTCTAGTTCAGTTCTAGTTCAGTTCTAGTTCAGTTCTAGTTCAGTTCTTCAGTTCTAGTTCAGTTCTAGTTCAGTTCTAGTTCAGTTCTAGTTCAGTTCTAGTTCAGTTCTAGTTCATTTCTAGTTCAGTTCTAGTTTTAGTTTAATTATCGAGAACTAGTTTAATTATAATTTTTCAATTCCCGCTTATATTGTTGCCGTTCACACTTTTTTTATTTTTCCATAAATTTGCCTAAATTAATTTTTGTGTTTGTCACTTAAAATGTCAAACACGTTTTAGTCATCTTTTCCATATTAGTTCTTAATTAAGAAAAAATATTGATAATTATAAATTTTACAACTTTTTGTTGAATAGTTTTTGTTTAGCTTAAATTTTTAAAAATTCTATATAGATAGAATTACGTATGTGTTTTATGGTTTTCTTGATATTGTGACGTTTATAGAGAATTTTAAAATTTTAAAAGAATAAGTCACGTGTATTAAGTAATTATTATTAAAAACAAAGATTCAAATACAGTAATAAACTAATTTTTTAAAAGTTTTCTTTTTCTGACACTTTTTTGTAAGATTAAGTTAAAGGTCAAATTTTTATAGAAATTTGGATTCATATACTTATAACGTTATTTGAATACAATACTATTAGCTTATTTAGGTCAAAGGTTAACTCTAAAATTTAAATTTTAATCTTTCATCCAAGAAATAGATAACTTTATTTTTGTTTAATTTTTAAAGTTTCTATTTATTTTGCCATTCACTGTAAACACTTTTAGTTTTAAAGAAAATTATCTTAAATTTTTGTAAAAATGTCTGAGAAGATTAGAAGATTATTTTTAGTGTATTTTAGATTTGTTTTGTATAATTTATGACACGTTCTGCAAATACTTTTTATTTTTTTTATCTTATTTACTTTTTTCTTTATTTCACTTTTTATTATTTCTTATTTTTTTTATTTTAAAACTTTTTAATTTACAAATATTTTGCTAAATTTTATAAATCTTTCCTTAGACACTGTTCATAAAGAACTAATTTAAATCCTTAAATTTCACTTATATTTAAAGCTTTATTTTGTTTAACATTTAAAAGAAAACACACACACACACATGCTCATACTTCAAAAATTTTCTTTGACACCATAAATCTCCTTTTTCAACTCGTTTCGCCCTTATTCACATACACACATATCGTTTTGCAACGATTATCCTTGAATCGTTGTTAAAAAGGAATTTTAATTCGCTTACGACTGTAATGTCTTTATAACGGT